CCCCGATGACCAAACAGATTACCGGTGTCATTCAATGGGCCCAAGCGTTTTCCATATTCACCCTCGTTCTCGTTACCTGGTTCCCCCACCGTGCTCGTGACTTGCTTTTGTACGAACTGCTTATTCTACGTACGTATTCCTAATTCGGGGGGGGGGGACGCCTGGCGCAATTACGACGAGGTTTTTCGCCGTGATGCCGCCGCCCGGGGTTTGTCTGATTCGTCAAACATGAACGTGGAGCTATTTAACATTCACACCGCCGCGGTTCGTGTTCCGCGTTCCCCGAGTCGCGTTCAGCGTACGGGTTCCCGTACCCCTTCGTCGTCGTTTTTTTGCAGGTCCTGGAACAGTGGGCGTTGCACTGCTTTTGGCAGGCAGTGTAGATATCGTCATGCTTGTGATCGTTTGGTATGTGGGGGGTCGCATAGACGTATTTTTTGTCCTTTTAACGTCGCTGCGGAAACTACCCAGTCACACACAGCGGGCCTCGTAAGCGCGTCTCCTTTTTTCTCAAAACGTTGATATTGTTCATTTTTCTGTTACGTTGTCGATTCTCCGCAGTATGATATTTATTCAGCGTGGCGTCGGTCGTGTTGTTCGTGAGCTTCACTCGTCGGCATCATTGTTTTTCTGGACTGATAGAAATGTCGTGTGGTTAAGCCAATACATACATACATTTGTAGTCTAGTCTCTTTAGTCTATCATCAGCCAATAAAATTGTATTCTAACTCGTTTTGTGTTGGGGTGTTTTTTTCGGTCGGGGGGGGGACTACGTATCTCTCATTCTTGATCTTTTTCTAGGACCTACCCCACTCCCCTTATCCTCGTTCACGATCGGCTGTATTTGCCCTCTCAATCTCGAAGCATTTGTGCACGAGCTCCGGGAGTATCCTAGTCCCCGCAAGGAGTATGTGCTGGCGGGCATTCGCGACGGTTTCCGTCTGGGTTTCGTTCCAGAGCGTGTGGTCCTTCGTCCGTCGCTCCGCAATCTCAAGTCGGCGTCTCAAGACCCGGACGTGATCGACAAATATCTCTCGGCGGAAGTCGCCCACCGCCGGGTGGCTGGTCCTTACCTGTACCCCCCACTACCCTCTCTCCAAACCAGTCCGTTTGGGGTTATTCCGAAACGTCATCAACCGGGGAAGTGGCGCTCATCCCTGACCTTTTCCTCTCCCCAAGGAGCAAGCGTTAACGATGGTTTACCTAAGGATCCCTTCTCTATGCGATACATTTCCGTTGACGATGCTATCAGATCTCTCGTTGTCATTGGCCCCGGGGCCCTAATGGCCAAGTTCAATTCGACGTGGAGGCCACCTACCGGAACATTTCGATCAACCCCGACCCGACCCGGACCTACCTACCTACATATTATGTATGTATGTATGTACGATACATACATACACACACACACACACACACACACACACACACACACACACACACACACACACACACACACATACATACATACATACATACTATAGGAAATTAGTCAATTCGACTTTGAATGAATTGAGAGAAGGGGCTGATCTGAGCTGTTCTGACAAGCTGTTCCACAGGGAAGCACCACTGTAGCTGAAAGAACGTTTTAAATAGTCTGTTCGAGGTTTTGGAACAGACAATTTATTTAGAGAATTTCTCAGATCATGATTGCTCACTTTGGGTGTAAATAACTGCTGCAAGTATTGAGGAGCAGAATTATTATTAACTTTGTACATTAGGATAGCTTTTTGCTTCATGCGATTTTTTGCCAAAACACTCCATCCCAACTCAGAGAGTAGGGATGCTGACGAAACCTCATACGAGGACCTGGTCATTACCCTAGCTGCACGATTTTGCAGCTTTTGTAGTTTCTCACCCAGTTTTAAACCAATACCATCCCAAACTGGAGAGCAATAAGTGAAATAGGGCTCGACCAGGCCCCTGTATGCCTTCACAGCCGTTTCTCTATTGATGAAAGGTCTTACGCGCTTAAGAGCACTAATACCGGACGAAATTTTTTTGGTAATATTATTGATATGGTTTTTCCAAGTTAAGTGCTCGTCGATTGTTAGACCTAACGACTTTGTAGATTGAACTTTTTTGATCTTTTCGTTGTCTACAAAGACATTTAACTCGTTGATTTCACTGAAGGTTGCAAGCCTCTGACGGGAGCCAATGACCATAAGTTCGGTTTTTGCAATATTAAGACTTAATTTATTGGATTGTAGCCAGGTATTTAGATTGATCAATTCCGCATTCATTGCGTCTTCCAACACAGAAAGATCATGGCTATGAAAAGTTATGTTAGTATCATCGGCATACACTCTTGCTAAACCGTCATTCATACAATTTGGCAAATCATTAATATAGACCAGAAACAAGAGAGGTCCAATTATTGACCCTTGCGGAACACCATAAGTATAAGAACGGCTACTGGATAGTGTATCATTCATTCACGAAGCACCTTTGCTTACGATCA